GCCAGCCAGTAGAGGTGGCCTTGCCATTACTAAGCTGTTAGAGTAATGATCGCTTCTTTTTTTATGTCTAGAGCTTTGTATAGCCTCTTAACTTGGTGCCAGAAGCTGTTATTTCATAGCACTCCCTTTTTGTCTTTGATGGAAACAGTCCAGGAAGCTCTGTTCTTGGCTCCTCATCAGTATACTGATAGCTCAGATCTCTAAACCCAGCCTGTATTCTAGGTTAGGGTACTGTTGGAGCTTGGAGTTCATGACACAGGCACTACTCCCCATTTGGATTTCATGGTTCAGTTGTCACAGCATGATTGGCATTATGTGTTGCAAAACTTAATTAAATTGACCCCATGTTATGGTTGGGAAAAGGACTAGCCTCAGGATTCTCTGAGCTGGATTCTATAGTACTGGCTGGCACATAATTTGGGCAGCTCTGGAACCTGTGCTTTTCTCTCTTGCTGGGTATTACCCTTCCCCATTTTCCTCTTTGCAGACAAACCCACGGTGGGAATCCAAATCACTTACTGGCAGCTTCCCAGAATCGTATTGTGGATGGAGCAGTCTTTGCGGTGCTGAAGGCTGTCTTTGTTCTGGGTGTGTACCTGTGTTAGCCTGAACCTCTAAGAATGTTGGGTGGGAGAAATGTGTTGGCTGTACAGAAGGTAGGAGGTCTGCTTTGGTGGATATGTGGCTTGTCTGAAGCCCTTTGAGCTGTAAGCATGCTTCATATCTCAGTGGCAGAGAGATCACTGATTGCAGAGAGAGTTTACAAAAAGTCAAGATGATTTGTGGGTGAGGCTTTGGGTTTAGTATTGATAATTAAATGACACTCGTGCTTTCCTTGTAGGAGATGCAGAACTGAAAGGCTCTGGCTTTTCCCACCCTGGAGGTGTTGATGATCTCATGGATGATGAGCTAGGCAGCAGGAAGGCTGGTGGTCGGGTAGTAACTGTGGAAACAGCTAGCTTGGATATTTATGCCAAATATGTACTACGGAGTATATGTCAACAGGTGAGTCTGTCCTATCTCTATGTTTGTCCTTGTACCTTCTGCAAACAGATACATCCCACATGACTTTCTGCAGGCTGGATTTGGCTGGTTATTTCTTGGAAAGATCAGTAAAGAACCTGCGATGGTTCTGCCACTTGGTGGCGCTAAGGATTGCTCACCATTAGCAAAAAGGGAGGCAAACAGTTGTTAAGAATTAGGTGTTGCAGTGTTCAGGGACTGCACATCCCCTTTGCTTTGGCAACAGCACAAGGCTGATGTCTAAGGAGGGGGGAGTGCTGGGAGTGGTTTGCTGAGATGTGTGCTGGAGGCAAAGAAGATAAGCATGAGAAAGACAGCTTGTTGAAGTGATACACACTGCCTTTCAGAATGCAGCTTAAATGTTGCTTTCAGCTAGGCTGTTAATGTATCCCTGGGCTTTGCAGTGCCCTGTTTAGTTAATTAAAGGAACAACAACAAAAAATTTTTTTGCTTGGTCTAATCTGACGGCACCAGTATTTCTGTTCCTTTATGGAAAACTGACATTTGAGGAACTGAAACCTGGCTAATAAGTACTTAGTTGCAGAGTGGAGTGCCTGTTACCACTACTGTATGAAAACGGGTGTTGAAGGGTGTCCTTGGCCTGGGTTGCAAATTTATTCTGTCAACAGGAAATGTGCAGAGTTACAGTTTGAAAGCTGTATTCTGTATTACTAACGTGTAAACAGAACGTGCTAGCACTGTGTTGTTCTCATGCTTTGTGATGCTGCTGTTTATTAATTGGCTTGCTATATAGCAATGTTACCAGCCTGCCAAAGAAGAATTGGAGGCACCTATTTATGAGCATAAATTCAATATACTTGGTGTTACTGAAACCGGACTGTAGCATTGACAGAAGTAGATATTCCCTTGCTGGTCCCAGTCTATGTAGGAAGGACTCACAGTGGGTAGAAAGTGTGTGTGTGTGTGTGTGTGTACAGGAGGGAATTGCAGTGTCAGGTATCACTGCTCATACGAATTGTTGGCAGCACTGGTTATGTAGGAGTTAGCATTGCAATAGATGCCAGTGAGTACCACCGAATTGTGCCAGAGCTCCTGCAGAGTTCCTGCAGCTGTAAAGGGCTGGTAAAATGATGTTTTTAATATTAGCGCCCCTAGTGTGAGCGGTGGATGCTGCAGAACTCTGAAATGTCTGTAGAATGCCTTAAACTGTAGGTTGTGATTTCTCAAACTCATAAAATATTGCATCTTATATTCAGGTCATGTTTTATAATAGACTTCTTCATAAGGGGATAGGGAAAAGGACCAGATTATAGAATTAAGTTAAAGGTTTCTTAGGTGCAAATGATTATGATTTAGTTGCTGGTCTGCCCTTTAGCCTATTTAAATTAATAAGTGTAATTGTGACTGGCCTTTTGAAAAGGTTTGTTTCATAGAGCTATGATAAACCACAGTGGGAACCAAGAGGGAAGCTTGAGTCAAAAGTACTAACCTGAGTCTGGTGACTGGGATGGTGGAATTGTCCATAGTGCTTGGAAAACATGTTCATAGTACTCCTCTGTGAAGAGGCAGATGAGGGCCTCTGTTTCAGTAATATGAAGCCTGCAGAGGTGGCTGTTTTGTAAAGAAATGCTGCAGAGAGAGAGAGGCTAGAAGTCCCTCAAGGTTGAAGATGGTTGTTGACTTCATACTTATTTCTGAGATTATACCAATAAAGTGAATCAGAGATGAAGTCTGAATTCTTGTAGGAAGCTGAGCAAGTGACAAAAAGGGTCTTCCCAAGGATATGCATGTTATGTACACAAGGAAGAGAAGTTTCAAGAGATTATGATGTAGCAACACTAAAGAAATGCAATAGGCACTGGAGAAATCACCAATCACATGTATTGGCAAAGTGGAAACTTCATCTGGGATGAACTTTAAGATCTAGGCTGTGGCTTCACAAGGATTTCAAACCAGAGTTTTAGCCTTTACGATCTTTGTGCTCTACTTAGTGCTTAGAGTGCGGTCTGCTGCTGAGAGGGACTGTTCCCAGCTTTCTAGGCTTAGCACCAGCACCTGTGCTTCAAGAGCTAGATCTCATCTCTTCTCCTCTGGTTGTCACTTCTCAGTGGAAGAATTCTCTGATAAGGCTTGCTTTGCAGCTGCAGAAGTGCTTATGTAGCAGTTCTCTGTAGATTTTAATTTCATGAATTTGCCTAACTGATTTTCAATATGAAAAAATCCTGCAGTAACAAATGCTGCAGGTTAACTGTAAATTGTGTGAAGAAGTACCTACCTCATGTTTGGTTTGGAAACTGGTGCCTTTCTTATTGTACATTTAGGGACCACAAACTGAAATTGAGAGTCTGACAATAATAGTTTTCTGTCTACTTTCTCCTCATGATTTGTGACTTTATAAATGGCTTGCATCCAGTCAGTTGCTTCCCCTTCCAGGCTTTGAGAAGTAAAGTTATTGTTTTTTACTAAGGATGGCAGTGTGTTTTCTATCACAATTTGAGAATTAAGGGGTGTGCTTTTCCCTAAGACATGTTCTAGTTTAGCCTTAGCTGCAGCTCTGAATTATTTAATTTAGGACAGCTCCAAGGCTTTGTTGTGCAGGAAATAGACCAAATAATTTTAAGTGATCCCTTCCGATCTTCTGAGACCAAGCAGCAGTGCTGATAGAGCCTGGGCATGGCAGTGACTGTGTACTGTTAAGTTATACCACTATTTTATCAAAAGAAACAGCAGCTACTGTGTTTCACCACTGCTGACTTGTCAAAGTTGATGTTTCCTCTGTTGTGATTGCTGTGCTGTGCCTGACGCCTGCTGAATCAGGATGGTATAGTTCATGAAGAGAAATGATTATTGGGCATAATTGTGTACTAATAAGGTTTTTATGAATTTGACATGTTCCCTGCATCTCTCTGAGATTGAAAGCAGGGGTGCTGGTTTGGAATCAGACATCAGTTTGACTGTGCTGACTCTGCCTTTGTTTTGCAGGAGTGGGTAGGTGAGCGGTGTCTGAAGTCCCTCTGTGAAGACAGCAATGACTTGCAGGATCCTGTCCTGAGCAGCACGCAGGCCCAGAGGCTGATGCAGCTGATTTGTTATCCACACCGGCTGCTGGACAATGAGGAAGGAGAAAATCCTCAACGGCAGAGGATTAAACGCATCTTACAGGTGCAGGTTTATGGCAGAATCGAAGAGTGTCCTAGTAATTGCCTAATGCAGCATTAGAGTGAGGCTGTCCAAAATGCAGCCCTCTGAGGGGTCTGAACACTCATTTTTATGGGAGCTGAGGGTGTGGGTTGATGTAGTTTGAACTGAAATAAGGGCTCCTGAAGTATGCATGTGTGTGTATTGCAGAATCTGGACCAGTGGACCATGAGGCAGTCCTCGCTGGAGCTGCAGCTTATGATCAAGCAGACGGCAAACAATGTGAGTTTCTGCTCAGAGGGACCATACAGTGATGTGTGTTGCCAGTGTTGAAGTGGCTGCTTGTGAGGTGGTGGGGAAGTGGCCTGGCAGAAGTGGGAATAGGGAGAAAGTAAACGAAGAGGGAGTCAGGCCTGTGAAAGCCAAGCATGAGAAGGATGCAGGGAGTCTGAGATCCAAAGAGCAGTAGCCACGGAGAAGTTGGCAAGCTGGGTTTGTACTGAGTTGTGTTGAAATGTGCAAGCCACGTCAGCGGATGCTTTCAGAGAAGGACTTGGCTGTCTTTTCTTCCCTATCTTCAGGAGATGAACTCCTTGTTAGAAAATATAGCCAAGGCCACCATTGAGGTATTCCAGCAGTCTGCAGAGACCAGCTCTGCTAGCTCTGCTGGCAATGGAGTCAACAATATCAGTAGCTCAGCAAGTGCTACACCTGCCAGCAACAAATCCAAACCCATCCTCAGGTAGGTGTAGTACCAGCATGCAGCTGCCTTGTAGAAAAGTCTGAATCATAAGCTGGATTGCAAACTGCTTTTTTCTCCTGTGTTGTCACAGCTCCCTGGAGAGATCAGGAGTGTGGCTGGTGGCCCCTCTCATTGCCAAGCTTCCAACATCAGTTCAGGGCCATGTGCTGAAAGCTGCTGGAGAAGAACTGGAGAAAGGACAACATCTGGGGTCATCGTCCCGCAAAGAGCGGGACCGCCAGAAGCAGAAGAGGTGAGTCCTGGGGAAAGGGCAGGCAGTGTTTGCTGTGCTGATCCCCCAGCCTGGCAGTATTGCTCCATCTCTGTTCTCTCTGCAGCATGTCCCTCCTGAGCCAGCAGCCATTTCTGTCACTGGTGCTAACATGCTTGAAAGGACAGGATGAGCAGCGGGAGGGCCTCCTCACTTCTCTGTACAGTCAGGTCCAGCAGGTAGGTGTCTTGCTTCTCCCCTCACTTTCCTCAAGGGCTCGCCCCTCCAGCAGGCAGACTATGGGGCACGTCCTTGGGGATATTGTCTGTCTGATTATATGCTCAATAAGGAAAAGATCTTACCCTGGTTGGTATAGGGTGCTTGAACTGACCATCTCTGAGTCACTGGACAGTGGGCAGTACAAGCTGCTCTCTATACAGCTTGTGAAGTCTGTCCTGTCTTCTACGTTTCTTAGATTGTTACGAATTGGCGGGAAGATCAGTACCAAGATGACTGCAAAGCCAAGCAGCTGATGCATGAGGCCCTGAAACTACGGCTGAATTTGGTGAGCAATTGCAGAAAAAGAGCTTAGCCATATGGGGTGAAGAGTTGTCTGCCTCTTTTCCTTTTTTTGGAGCACCCACACACTGGAGGGGCTATATATGTCCTGAGGCAAGGAAGTAGGAGAGGCACTTGTGCTGATTCTAGGTCTCGAGCCCTGAGTGGGATAGGGTGCATGGAAAAACTCCCTTGCTCTATTTTGCCAGGATGAAATCCACAGCCTTGGTCTCTGTTTTGGAGATGTGCCTTCCCATTTAAATGTTTTTGCAGTCCACAGCACTACTACTTGCATCTGAGGTTTGTCCTGCTGACTGCAGTCTCCCTCAGCTCTCAGTAGGAGGTGCTGCAGCACAGGAGTTGCTCTAATTTAGGGTCCTTTCTCACTTTTGAATCTTGGTGTTTCTTCATGGTGTCGTTGTGACTAAACTACTTTTCTGTGCCAGGTGGGGGGAATGTTTGACACAGTTCAACGCAGTACACAGCAGACAACTGAATGGGCTGTGCTTCTCCTGGACATCATCAGCAGTGGCACCGTGGACATGCAGTCAAACAAGTAACTTTCTTGCTGACTTCTGATCTGTACACTCCCCAAGGAAGGCAGTCATTAGTGTGGTCCCTTTTCTCATGTGAGCTAGCTGTCTCTCTAGATGATCAGTCAGAAGTACTGTGATAGCTGAAACAGACTTGGGAATAATACCAGGCTACAACCTAGGTCCTAGTATCCAAATGCACTCTGACATATCCAGAGCAAACTTCGCTTTTCAGATGCAGAGAGATAAGCAGGGGAGAGCTGAGTCTGGACCTGCTTTTTAGAGAAGCTGAATGGATAGACAGGAGGCCAGTCTTAATCTGTGATTGACTCAAATGTGAACACCTATAAGCAAAAGGAGGATTAGTCAGGGAGGTTAGTCTGAAGATCACTTGGCACTTCTGACTGTAGGCAGTACTCTCGGCAATCTAATGTCTGGTGTTACTGTGATGGCAGAGGCTTTATATCTGCTTCTCAGGTGACTTTGACCTTTCTGCTCTGACCAACAGTGAGCTCTTCACCACTGTGTTGGACATGCTGAGTGTTCTCATCAACGGCACCCTGGCTGCTGATATGTCCAGCATTTCTCAGGGCAGTATGGAGGAGAACAAGCGGGCATACATGAATCTTGTCAAGAAACTCAGGGTGAGGGACACCAGGCCCTGTATGGGGAGCAGTGTGTGCTGTCGTGGTTGTCCAACTATGCAGATTTGCCTGTGTCTCACGAATGGTACTTGTCCTGTTGCTGCTGTTTAGATGAAGCAGTAAGGGTGACCCCAATGGCTCTGTAAGGCTGAGGGGGTTGCAAAGGTGAGAGGTAATGCAGGGATGGAGGTTGCCACCAGAAGAGACACAGGTGGGCTTTGGATGCTTTTTCCTGAGCAATTCTTCAAGTCTTCTCTATTCCACTTGTGCAGAAAGAGCTGGGGGACCGGCAGTCTGACAGCCTGGAGAAGGTGCGACAGCTACTGCCGCTTCCCAAGCAAACCCGAGATGTCATCACCTGTGAACCTCAGGGATCCCTCATTGACACCAAAGGCAATAAAATAGCTGGATTTGACTCAATCTTCAAGAAGGAGGTAAGTGAAGCTTTTTTGTCTGCATCACAGCTCCTGAGTGCAGGTGTCACCTTGTCTTCTGATGCCTTGAGTCTACACAGCTTGGGAGGCGTCTGTATGTAGTGCCTTGTTGCATGCTGATCTTGAAGCGGCTGGCTGCATTCAGACAAGCTGGCACATAACCATGTCCAAAAAGGGCAAAGCTGGGTATTAATGCTCAGTGATACCTGCTGGTATGCTCTCAGAAGTCTTTTAAACTTTGGTTTTGTACTTAGGGCTATACAAAGCATAAAGAGAAACCCATGATCCCTGTCACATGAGTTACTGGGCAGTGCCAGTGTGCAGAAGACTGGCAGAGATGGGATGAAGGAGACGGGCAGTTGTTGATGAAGGCCTTTAGAAATGACTGCTTTGCCACGTGGAAGAGCAGGGTCCACTAGTTAAGGGTTAGTTTACTGGGACATGTTGAGTAGAAGAAAGCATAGTTTCCTGTACCCTTGTAGGACTTGGAGGTTCTTATTTCTTTTGCTTTAAAGGGTTTGCAAGTCTCTACAAAGCAGAAGATTTCCCCTTGGGATCTATTTGAGGGCTTAAAGCACTCAGCCCCCCTCTCCTGGGGATGGTTTGGGACAGTCCGGGTGGATCGCAAGGTGTCTAGATTTGAGGAGCAGCAGAGGCTTCTTCTGTACCACACACACTTGAAACCCAAGCCCCGCAGTTACTACTTGGAGCCGTTGCCGCTGCCCCCTGAAGAGGAAGAGCCTCCTACACCTGTGGCTTTAGAGCCAGAGAAGAAAGCTACAGAACCAACCAAGGCTGATAAAACAAGCTCCAATCCTGCCACCTCTACTGAAGAACGCAAGAAGAAACAGAGCAAAACCAAGAAACGCAATCAATCTGCCAGCAAAACTGAGGTAACTGACTGTCCAACAGCTATGGAATCTTCTATGTCCACCCCTCCTAGTCACAGAGCACTCCCTTGAGTCTTCCTGAGGAGCCTGATAGTGATGTAATGGTGAAGATGGGGATGTGTTTCTTCTCAGCTGGGAGTGCTGGAGCTCTATCCTGCTTTCTCTAGCCTGGGGCAAGCATTTTTTTTAATCCCTGATGGAAGGGAAGGAGACTGCCCAGCTCAGATAGCATCTCAGGCTTCATCCTGTGGACTTTGCAATCCTTTCATACGCTTCATCCATTCATGAATTCACAGTGCACATTGATTTTTTTGATCATTGATCACAGTGCTTTGTCTTTGCAGGATTTTGTGTTGGGCCCTAGCCGGGGGGTTTCATATGGAGTTGGTATGCCTACAGATCTCTTGCATCATCAGTCAGGAAGCACTATGTCAAGGCTGGCATATGGGCAATCTCCAGTGGGTCTCTATGCCCAGAATCAGCCTCTTCCAGCAGGTAGGTGCACAGGAGAGGTGAGCATATTGCACCTCCTTGGGAACCTCTTGTAAGCACCCCTTCTGTGACACGGTCTGCGCAGGTCCCTACACTTTCCCCTTTTGCCTGTCACGTGTCTAGTTACAGTGATGAACAGTCTTTCTGGAGCTACAAGGCTCAGCAAGAGCATGTGACTAGTTGGCCTGTTACTCCTCCTTTCGCAGGTGGCCCTCGCCTGGATACATCCTACAGACCTGTACGCATGCCACTGGGGAAACTTGTTCAGAGTCGTCCTCCCTATAGTGGTGTGCTGCCTCCAGGGATGGGGAGCATGATGGGCATTGACCCTTCCTACAAGCCAGCAGTGTACAGACAGCAGCCTCCAGTGTCCCAGGGACAGATCCTGAGGCAGCAGCTTCAAGCAAAGTTGGTAAGTCAGAGCTGTGCTCTTTTCTTGCTGGACCGCACAGTACAGCCCAGGCTGCTTGCTGGGGCTATCCCTTCTAGCCAGAACTCTCCAACCCTGTATCTGTTTCTGCCCTGGAAAGATACAGTCTCTTGTGTTTATTCCTCTGGTGCAGCACTGTGTTTGCCAACTGCTTTGTGGGCCCTCCTCAGTGAGGTGCACTGGGGCATCTGTGGCTGTTGGGCATTGAGAGGGGCACATCCTGGCTGTGGGCTGGTAGGGATGTTAGTGGCATATTTGTCCCAAGTCAGGGTCAGGCCGAAGTCATTAGCATCTGCACGCTGTGCAGCAGCCTTGTAGGGTTAGCAGTGAAGCTACTTACCTGGTTTGGTGGGAGCTGCTGAGAAGAGAGCAGCAGTGTCCTGCCCTTTGGAGATGTTGAAAAAAGTGTTTCTCTGTTGCCTTCCAGCAGGGCCAAGGCATAATGGGACAGCAGCCCGTGCGCCAGATGCCTCCAACCCCATCCTATGGAGCGCTGCAGCCCTCCCAGGTAAGTGGCAGTGACAGCAGGAAAGACTGGAATCTGGCTGCAGCACAAGGAAACATCTTCATTTCTGCTGCAAAATCCTGAAATTTCTTGGTTCTTCTTACTCCTCATTTACTGGGCAGCATGAATCTGAATCCCAGAGATGAGCAGCCTTGTGACAGTATTTACAGGAGGCTGATGTCATGTGTTCCAAATTCTCTTTTGTACCTTACCCCATGACTGATAAAGGCTTTTTGTTTCATTTCAGGGTTACACACCTTACGTGTCCCACATAGGCCTTCAGCAGCACCCCTCCCAGTCAGGCACGATGGTACCTCCTACCTATTCTGGCCAGCCCTATCAGAATTCCCACCCCAGCTCTAATCCTGCCCTGGTGGATCCTGTTAGACAGATGCAGCAGAGACCAAGCGGCTATGTACATCAGCAGGCCCCTGGCTATGGGCACACCTTGGGCAACACACAGAGGTACCTCCCACCGTACTGGATGTTAATAAGCTGTATTTCATCAAGGGCTTCCCCACTCTGCTCACACAACCCTAACAGCAATCTGTGAAAAGCCTGTTCTCCATGCTGTGTTATACAGCATCTAAGTCCTTTGCACCCTCAGGGGAACATCTTTATCCAGCTTCCAGTCCTGGGAAGAAACAGAGAGATGGGATGAAATTCAGAGATCCTAGCTGCAGGCAGGGGACAGTGTTACCAGCCAGAGAAAGATGGAATTGGGAAGTATGAGAAAAATGACCTGGGAAAGTCATAGTTTCGGTTTTAAATCTAGCCAGCAGATCACCATCAAAGGGCTGGATCTGGGATTTTCACTGCTTCTTAAGAGGTATAAATCCAGCAGGGAAAACATGCAGAACAGCAGGCCAAGGATTGTTACTTAGGGCTTCTAGAAAAACGGGTTGGATGAAACCCTTGAGAGGCCCTGGTGTCCCTCATCTTTCTGCAGAGAGGCAGCATGGCTTGCAAGGGGCTGTTTGGGCTGTCTGTCTTGGTGATGGTAGAAGTTGGGTTTGGATTAAAGAAGTTGGTTGCCCATGAGTCTTTTATTCCATGAGCTTGTCCTTTTCTCTTGCAGGTTTCCTCACCAGTCGATACAGCAGGCCCCCATGATGAGTGGGATGAACCATTTGGGTCCACAAGGAGTCCCCTCAGGAATTCGACCCAGCCAGATACTGCCTGACCAGCAGCAGCAGCAGTACCTGAGGCAGCAGCAGCAACAGCAGCAGCAGATGCTGAGGGTGAGTGGTTGCTGACAGGAGGAAGGCTGCTGGAGCTGGAGGAGGCTTGCCCAGCTCTGCTTAACTCTGTGTCAGCAACGCTCTGCTCTGCCCCTCTGTGTCAGGAAGGATGTCAACTCTGTCGGGGGCCATCTGTAATAAATTTGCTAGGTGGTTCTTCCTTCCTTAGAGCTGGCCATTCCTGATGGAGACATCTGCTGTGCTGCCTTTTGCCAGTCACCCACCATGAGCTAAAGGGAAGTTAGGAGCAGTAAAGGTCTGTTTAGTCCTCTGTGGCGTACATCCCACCTCTTCCTGCTCCAGCTGAGTCATAAGATTGTGCACAAAGTTAGCTGTCTTAGAAGTGTTGCAGGAGCTAGAAACAAAGTGAAAATCCCCCTGCCCACACAACAGCAGGTAGAATTGTTCCTTACAAGATCATTTTTAGGGGCATATCTGCATTTTCACAAGATCAAAATAAGTGTTGGTTGCAGTTTCCAATGTCAGGAAATCTGCTGTGAATCAGTCAATGTATTCTACAGCTAGCAGTGAATGGTGAAAAACTGATCCAAAGTAAGCTGTTAGGGCCAACTCTCTAGGTTCAAAGAATTTCACAGGCATGTGTCAACAGACATGAGTATACCATGGATTTGCATTATGGTTTTATGAATATGGAGTACTTATATACAGATATGAATACATTTCTTGGAGTTACAGAAATGTATTGAATTGATAGAGAAACAGAAATAGTTTGGGTTAATTGGTGAATTGCATACCTTATGACAAGGCCTAGGAAACCTGTAGAATATGGGGAGACTTTACATGGCACAGAGTGCTGAGGCTTTGTGTTCTGAGAGGGGCCTGAGCAAAACAGTGGTTCCTGCAGAGAGCTGCAGTCAGCAGTATTTGAGAATTGCTGCCTTGCGCTGGACAAGAGATGGCCTGTAGCACGGTCAGCAGCTTTTAGTCCTTTTGATGAGTAGCACCCCCTGACTATTCACTTTGTTTCTTTTAGCATTCTTCATCACTCATATTTAGAAAAAGAACACGCCTTAGAGAAATTGCTAGCACTTCTCCTAGCTCAGTAACTTCACGTATACCTTCAGCTTTTAGCTGACATTGCTTGGTTGCTTAAAAAAAAAAAAAAAAAAAAGGGGTGGGGGGTTTGAAACAGCAAAAAAAGAAAGCCATTATTTGTAAGTCTGCTAAAAAAAAAAAGTGTTGGGAGTCAGCTGTTACAAGAAGGTAGAGCATGAAATCGGGAGGGGTATCATGCCTCATTTAGTCAGTCATGCTTTCTTGTGTACTCAGGTCATAGCATCCATTTCGAGAACCTAAGTGGCCAAACTGGTTTAAGATGGAAGTTAGGCTGTTCTAGAAACTCACTCCCTTTGGGTTGAATCCTTGATCCAAGCCTCGATGTGTTTGTGACTGCTTCTTGTATTCAATTATTATTGTCCACTGTGTCCCGTTGTTTACTGGCTCTTCTTTCTCACTGACGTTTACCCAGTGTATTCCTAAGGAACACTTGTGGCTTTCATAGGCCGGGTTTTTCTAACCTTGTCTCATAAGATACTGTCCCTTCTCGTGATTGTATTCCTGTCTGTTTTCAGAGTCTGTTCAAGGTTTGAACCTTACTTGAGCCAGTGATTGGAACTGTACCTAGCATCATCATGTTGTTTTTTTATGATAGTATTAGTAGTTTTCTATTTCTGCTAGACATTCTTCTGTTGATCTGAAGTTCAAAACTACATTGGCAGATGGGAGAAATGTCTGAAAATTAGGAGAAATTGAAAAACCTTGAGATCTGTGGATATATTCTGACTCCAAGTTCAACGTGCTGAATATTCTTCTCACCATAACTAGTTCTGGCAACACCTAGGCTGGAGCACTGCATCCAGTTTTATCTGCATCCTTTTACTGAAGTACAACACCAGCTGGCATGAGTGGCAGAGAAGGGCAGCAAGATAGATCAAAGAGTTGAGGAATGTGACTGAGAAGGAAAGACTGAAATAGCTGGGCATTGAGTTAGAGAGGCAGACACTAGAGGAAAGATAACTCTCCATATCTTTTGTATTCAAAAAAGCCAAAACCCCCTTATCTGTTCCTGTCCCTTGGCTGTAGGACAAGAAATGGCCTTAAATCATAACATCTGAGATTCAGGGTAAAGATTAGGGAAAACTACGGTAGTAGGAGTAATTATGACCTGGAGTGGATTGCGTAGGGAGGTTACGGGACCTCTGTTGCTACCTCTGGAAAAAAATTGAGAACAGGTCAGGCAAATACTCAGCAAAGTCAGTATTGCTGATCTTAACCAGGAGGCAAGAGATGAACCAGCCAACCTCTTGAGGTAGCTCTTAGTTGTTTTCTATTCTTGCATCTTGTTTGCTACTAGTCATTCCCCAGCTGACCAGTAGACTTGTAGTTCTCTTCCTGTGATCTGTCTATACCTCATCTTGCAGAAGAACTTTGTTACTGTCTCTGCAATTCTTGCCAATTTTCACCCCAGGGCAGGGTCCTGGTGAAACCTGAGTAATTTAGGTACCTGTAAGTAAGGAAAGTGGTGTAAGAGGGTATGTTACTGCATGGAACATCCTCCCTCCCTCGGCCCTTCCTGTGCCCTGTTGCTGTGTACATTGCCCAGACAGTTCCCTGATGGTCCCTTTTTTTGTCTTCACAGCAGCAGCAACAGCAACAGCAGCAGCAACAGCAACAACAACAGCAGCAGCAGCCACAGCCCCCACAGCCGCAGCCACAGCAGCAACCCCAGGTCTCCACAGTGCCTCAGCCACAGGCGCAGGGCCAGCCCCCAGGGCTGGGGATGCAGGCTCTTCCCCCCCAGCAGCCCATTGTGAGTGTTCCCTCATAGGCAGAGGGACGTGATAGTCCAGCACAAATCCAATGGTGTTCCACCTGCATCCCCCCCCTTCTCCCTCCCCTGTGCTTCCCAGGGCTTGTGTGAATGCAGAGGCTACCAGCCAGGTGGTGTGGCTATAACTACATTTCTCTTTTCACAGTTCCAGCGCCAGGGCCTTCAGCAGACACAGCAGCAGCAGCAGACAGCTGCTCTGGTTCGACAGCTTCAACAGCAGCTTTCCAGTAAGCATTAGTGTTCTTGATCCTGTCCTAGTCTCCTCCCCACTCTTTTGTATTGCAGATACCCTGGTGTAGAGAAGCAAGGCCAAGCCAGACTGAGGCCATACATGATGCTGGCAGGGAGGTGGCATCAGGACTTAGAGCTCCTGGCCCAAGAGGGCACAGCAGCAGGGCAGGCAGTGCTTGCTAGACCTTCCTTCTGCCTGCAGAAGGACGAGGGAGCTGAGCCTTTGTAGGGGCTGCCACGCAGCTTTCCCAAAAGGACCCAGACTGCAGCTCTAAAGCATTCAGAAGTATTCCCTCTGCTGCATATGACCTCTGAGGGGCACAGGGGGGCTGTAATCCTGGGGCTCTCACCTGGATGACCCAGAGATACTGTGTTCGTGTTGTGATCAGGACAAGGCTTCCTGGAGACAGGGAGGGTATTCTGGGAAGCGTTGCTGCATGCTTGCTCTGTTTGCAGTGGTCTGTGAGCTTCTGTGGCTGCTGTCACAGACAGGGTAATGGCATGGATGGTGTTCAGCCTGGAACTATTCCTAATAATCTGCATTGAACTACAGACTGGGGGATCTAGAAACAGAACCCAGTGTCTGTGCTGTTCCCTTCTGAATGGCCTGCTGTTTTACTGTCACCTCACTGGCTTTTCTGCCATAAAAATGGCAGACATGCTATGAAAATGCCCAGAAATCGACCGCACAGGTTTTTTACAGTGCATTAAGTGGGAGACTCTGCTAGATGTAATACTGTGTAGTGTGGTGGCTTGGAAATTGTGCTTATACTTGTTCCCTGAAGGAAAATTCTTAGTCCTTGTGACCAAAAAAACCTCTCCAAACCAGAAGTTTTAATGTACTAAGTTTCCCACTAGCCTGATTCACAAACCATAAGTCTGTGCAAGGATCCCAGCCAGGACATTCAAGTATAGAAAGACCTCGCATAAGAATCTGCATATAGCAGAATAGCCATAATTTTTATCCTGTCTGTACAGCAAACGGAGCTGTTTTATATGGAACAGATGCGTGGGTCCAATGCAGCCATGTGTCAGCATGCAGCTTCCATGCTCCCTCATTGGGTTTGCATCAGTTCCACCAGGAACCATCTGGACTTCTTATTTGTAGTGTCTGGGATGGAGTGGAAAGCAGGACATAAACCAAGAACAGCCTGTAGGAGGGGGACAAGAATACTTTGGGCCCAGGATAGGCTACCTTAGGAGGCTCCACAATGTCCCTGAATGTGCTACTGTCCAGCAGAGTTGAAGAGGGGAGCAGGCTAGCCAGGTTACACTGGTCTCTTTTTGCTTAGTCTGACTTGGGGTCAAACATGCTTATAGGGTTTCAGGAAAAAAAACTACAGAATGTTATTAATCAGACAGTACCCAAGTATTCTGTGAGCACTGTACGTCACAAAACACCAGTCCCAGCAGTTTGGACGTTCGTGAGATTCTTGAATATAACTTTACCATGTTTCCTGCCTGTTTTGTGCCACCTGGAAGTCCTTTGGGCATGTCCTTCTTTTCTACTGAGACACTGACAGGGAGCCAGGATAGTTGTCTCTGAAACCTTCACTAATTCTGCTTTCTGGGTGTGCCTCAGGATGAGTGTTTGACACTAGCTCTCTGAGCAGCTTGTATGGCTGCAGGTATGTAATCTTTAGGGCTGTTTTTCTTTCAAAATCAGAAATAAGTCATGCATAAACTCATCCTCCCAGCTAGCTGCCACCTTTCAGGGCTTTGTTATGGTGCACCAATTCCGCTACAAGGGATGGAGAGATCTCTGGAGAAGCTTCAGGATTGGGACTAGTGCACACCTATCTCTTCCTCAGAGAATTGCGGGGTCCTGACTGTGCTGCTGCCTAAAGACTCAGACAAATGAGTAGAGCAGGGAGTGCCATAAAGGTTATATTTTTCTTCTTGCAGCCTGTGACACACTCCTCATAGTGTGCTGGTGATGTGGGGAGAGTGATCTTTATTTCTGAACCTGACCTTGTGACTGTCTAACTCTTGTCTTTGACCTCAACAGATACGCAGACACAGCAGAACAACAACCCATTTGGACGCTACTGATCTGTGGCACTTCAGCCTGATCCAGAAGGGAGACATCACTGTGGACTGGATACAGCCTCTTCAGCCTGACCCACAGACTGGGGCTGCCCCCAATCTCTGTCCTTGGGCCTGTGCCCCCAGTACTGCTGCTGCCCATCTCACAGGGAGATGCCAGGAGGATGATTTTATTGTACAGAGAAAGTGTTTTTACTATCCAATTTCTACAAATGTTTATGGAGATCCCTTGTGGCTGATAGTCTCCCTTCCCACTTTGGTTTCAGTTTTTACTCAGTTTTTAGTATTTTTGTTAAAATAATGATTAAGACATTGTAAAATTTTGTATTTTATTTATACCAGATGAACCCTGTACTGCAGACATTCTTGGATGAATACAGAGAGCTTACTTTGCAAAAGGAGTGTGTATTCAGGGCCTGCCTTTCCTCCTCTGCGCTTCTCCCAGTACAGCCCAGCAGCAGCACTACACATCGTCTTTTATCTTTTCTCAGTAGAACGAACATCTGCGTTTTCAGCTTTTGTGACCAGCTAAACAATTTAGTTTGGGAAAGCAAGCCCTTCTTCCCTCTTTGTTTCATAAGCTGATGTTCACATGCTCGCAAGGGTTTGTGCAAGCTTTGTAGGATTTGTATGTTGATTAAGAGCTTTACTAGTAGTCTGTGGCATGTTCTACCAGGACAGTGGTCTGAAGGAAAGAGGGAGTTATATTGTAGGGTAATTCTGAGCCCTAACAAGCCCAGCTTCCCAGCCACAGCAATTACTGAGAGGCTCAAGCTAGTACCTCTGCAGTCTAGGAGGAGCTGCAGACTGAGCGTACTCACAACACTACTTCTCATCACAGCATGGTTTTGCTGATAAGCACCAAGGGTCCTCTGCTAGCTCCTTCTTGACAGCCACAGTGCTTTCCCTGGCTGGGTAACATGCTGCATTCTCAACTTTTGACCTGGCTAATGCAGCCTGCTAGCATGGAGTCTTATCTCTGTGTGTAGCAGGCTGCTTTTTCTTAGTGTTCTCCCTTCCTGCTGTCCATTGGACCTGGAAACTGTCATCACCAACACCTTTCTTCTCTATTTGGTTCTTCCTCAGCAATTTGCTTGTGAACCACTTGACTTGTTGGGCCGTCTGCTAGCTTTTCTCAACTACCATCTTCCTTCTGTCCCATCTGTGTGGAACATGGTGAAGCTTACAGGGACTCATGGAAGAGCTGCACTTGATCTTAATCTAAGGGCAAATACACAGTTCTGCAGGGCAGGCTGTAGTGTGAAGGCAGGCTTAGGAAGTGGAGAGGAAGGAGGGACGTTGGGGCTTTAGCCTTCAGCTGTGCTCAGACTACTGTGAGGGATGTCAGTCAACCCAGGGCCGTGCCCCATGTGCTGGCTGAGGGGCCTCTGTCTGCTGCCCCAAGAACTGGAGTAGAGCCCTTTCCCCCCGCAAGAGCGGGTAGGACAGCTCGGGGGGGCAGCTGGGTGGGCTGCCTGGCACCACACCCACCCTGTGCCCTGCTCCTCCCCAAACTGCACTGCCCTTGCATCTGCACCAGGCTCCTGCCATGTTGTTGTAGGTGGGTTGGAAGGTGTTGCTGGCCAGGCCTCCTGGAGATAAGCTCCATTGTTAATGAGGACAGATGCGTGCGCAGGGCTGCTTCCTTTGTGCATCCCTGCTTGTCCCCTTTCACGAGGATAAGGCTGGGGAGCAGCCTCGACCTGGCTGTTAGGAGCAGCCTGTCTGGTACCTCAGACCCCAGGGGAGGCCAGTGCCAGGGGCTCTGCTTGCCCACAGCCTGTGCTGGGTCATCCCAGAGGTGGAAGCCATGGCCATGGCTGCGCCTAGCTGGCCCCTGCTCCGAGGGACCCATGGCTGGGGCAGGAGAGGGGCTGTGCTCCCCTCCATCCTGCCTGGGCTGTGGGCAGTGAATGCCCTGGGGCCAGCAGAGCCACAGGCTGTGGGCAATGAATGCCCTGGGGCCAGCAGAGCCACAGCATGTGGGAGCTGCTGGTGGCCCCCTCCTCTCCCAGCCCTGGGAAGCAGCTGAGCCTGCGCCAAGCAGCATCTTGGATGCTGCCTTCTGCATCACTGCCGTGCCGGAGGTGGGAGGAGGGTGGCTCTGCAGCAGCCAGTGCTGGAGCAGGGCGGTGGAAGGCAGCATGGCCACGGGCAGCTCTGGGCAGGGGTGCGGTGGGGCGCTGCTTGCACAGCGACTGTGGCAGAGTTGGGGTGCTGCAGTAGGAGAGCAAGGAGCTGGGTGCTGACCTCCTGCTTTATGCCCTTCAAGCCTCCAGGGATCTGGTGAAAGCGCCCCAGGGACCACCCTGCCTCCCTGCGGGAAAGGGGATGATTTGGCTCTCCCTGGGGCCAGGTGCCCGCTGCCAGGGGCCCCTGCTTTATTGCATGTCCCAGCAATGGGGCTGCCCCTGCTCCTTCCTCTTGCAAAAGCCTCCTTCCCTCCAGCTGTGCCAGCTGCCTGGCAGGCCAGGTCTGCGTGGGATGAGCAGGACTCCAGAGCTGCATGGTGGTGACAGACCCAGGGCTGCCAGTGTTAAGACCCACAAGACCCTCTGACTGCCCAGAGTTTTTCCACGGGTGCAGGGGGATGTGGGAACTGGAGCAAGACCTGGTCATGGCACAGGGAACGTTTGGGGAGCTGCGCTCTGCCCAGCCTGGCTGCTGCGCTGCACATTAGGACTGAGCTGCAGTGGTTTTAAGCAGGTCCAAAAGCTTCCAGCCCTTCTGCTCCAAGTTACGGCTAAACGCTGCTTGTGACAGAGACAGAGGCAACAGGGGGATTTTATCACATGCTGCCCATTGCTGTGGCCGCTGGTCTGGGGTGGGGGCGGGGTGTGTGATGCTGGGCTTCCTGGGGCTGGGGCCAGCCCCAAGGGGTGCCTGGGCAGGGTCCATGGGTGGCATGTGCAGGTGATGCCACACGGTGTGTGGCCAGCACATGGGGAGAAGCCAAAGTAGCACACAGCTTGACACAGTGAGATGATGGGTGGTCAGGAAAAGGTTGTGTGCACACATCCACCCCCCCAGCAGCCTGGCACAGGTGGTCCCCATGGACCGTGCCCCAGGCAAAGACAGTTTGTCAGGCACTGTCAGAGCTGGTGTTGTGCAAGATAATCAATTGCTGCCCACTCAAGCAGCTGAAGCTGAGAGTGGAGCAGCTCCCCGAGCACCCAACCTTCCCCATGCGGTGCCTATGGTGGGGAGTGGGCTACGAGGCACCGCTGCAGCCATGCACCATGACCCTGTCCTGGGCTGGTTTTGCTGGGCAGCGGGACACAGGGAGCCATGCCTGGAGTCCTGCCTGCTGCGGGGCAGCCTGGCAGTGGTCCAAGGGCCCCTTCAAGATGCTGCTCAGGGCTGATGAACCCTGGTGGTACAGGGCAGGGTTGTGCATCCATCCCACGGGGCACTGGACCATGTTGTCTGCTCAAGGGCGTGCAGCTCACCCTGTGTGCACAGGCCAGCAACAAAATCAGCCAAGCTTCCAACTACCAGCGAGCAGTCCCTTGGAGATGGAGTGGGGCAGGAAAGCTCTGACCTGCTCTGCAATGGCAGCTGGAAGGTGCTAGGGCAGGTCAATTCCAACCTGTGCTGGGGTGTGGGGATCTCCCTGCGGCTGCACTTTCACCGACTCAGTGCGTGTGCCAGTGGCGTGCAGGAGAGATGAGATAAAAGCCTGCCCTTTGCATGCTGCTGCACAAGCATCTTAAAAGGGAAGCGGTGGCTGCTCTGCAGAGCCTGGGTAGGATCTGGGTTGCAGCTCTGGCAGCGGGAGGGAGGCAGAGCCCAGCTCCCCTCTCCTGGATCAGAAAGTGTGGAGGTGTCTGCTGGAAACTGCATGTCCTCCTCTTTGGTTAGGCATCACAGTTGATGCTGCCCTGGCTATGGCAAAGATATACAGAGACCAGCCACATCCAGCAGGACCCAAATCCATGCCCTGTTTCAAATGATTTCTGTAATCCCATCAGGCAGGACTGAAAGAGAGAGGTAGCCCCGCCATGGGCAAAAGCAGGCTGGAGGAGAGATGGCTCCTGCCAGGAGGCCACGCATGGGAGGGGAAGATATCCCCAAGGTGGGAAAGGGCATGCCAGGAGGAAAGAGGAATGACAGAGGTGCTGGGTCTTTCTGCACGGTGCTGCTGGTGCCTATGGGGCTGTGGCTGCTGAGCCAGCAGCTTGGTGCATAGCAGGGGTGGACAGGCTGTGCTTCGCCCCAGGGCTGAGGCTGGGATGGCACATCCCATACTGGTACCTGGTGAATCCTCTCTGGGACCAGCTGGGTGCTGCGGAGCAATGGAAGAGGCAAGGGCTGCTCCCCCGGCCACGGGGAAAGATGCCAGGGCCGGAGGGCGTGGGATGCTCCAGCTGCTGTGGGGTGTGCCGGGACAGCCCAGCCCAGGGCTGTGGCGGCCGGGGTGGAGGGGACCCATGCAGAGTGGCTGGTGCAGGTACAGGGTGCGGTGGGACGGGATTCTGGATGCCCAGGGTGATGAGGGGTGCTCAGGGCACTGCAGGGATGCCCGGGGTAGTGCAAGGAGCCCGAGGTGGAATGGGACATCCGGGGCGGTGCGGGGAAGCCCCCACAGACGGGGACAGTCGCCGGGGCGGTGCGGGGTGCCCCAGGGTGTGCAGATGTCCCGGTCGGAACGGTGGGGGCCGGTAGCTGGGCAGTGCGGGTGCCCCGCGCAGGGCACGGCTCCGGGGGCCGCGGGGGATACCGGGGGTGCGTGTGCGGTCAGTGCCGGTA